GGGAGATGGTGTAGCGGCGGCCGATGTGGTCGGAGGTGCGGCCGGCGAGGAGGGAGCCGACGAGGGCGCAGAGGTTGAGGATTCCGGCGAGGACCTCCAGCTGGCCTTCCTTGATTGTGAACTCTTCTTTTATGAAGAGCATGGCACCGCTCATCACCCCCGTGTCTATGTGTGTGTATATGTTGAAACAATGTTAACATCAAAGTGGTTAGATGATTATTTACACAAAATTTTGGATATTCAAAAACAAAAAAAAAAACAAAAAAAAACACTCACCATAGCCGAAGATTATGGAAATCATGGATCCAACTACGGCGCAAGAACAGGCATATTTGTTGAGCTTTTTCTGGCTGACATCGCTGATGATATCACCGCTCTCCAATTTCGACATTTCTTTTATTTTTTTTTTTCCTTTTGTTGTTGTTGTTAATAATATGCAGTTAATAAATGCAAGATATGCAATTTGCGAGATATATATTTATAGAGAAATCGGAACCATTCCATCGTAATTTGTAACTGTTAGATCATCATGTAATCGTTGGGGATAGTTGATCTAATGAGTTATCAATCTCGACAGAATGGTTCCGCCTTTATGAGTAGAAAACGGATAACGGAAAAACTAAAATTTATATTCTGATTTATACCTTTTTGCCTTTTTTAGGTTTAGTAGTATAAAGTAAACGGCTTGAATGCACACTTGCCTTGTCGTCGTCGTCGTTGACAATTTGGGGCTTACTTACTTGAGGCTAGCTGGACCTATTAATTAATTTGTGCGAATCAATTCAATTCACAAAAGATTTTTGAATATATCAGCAGATTTGAAAAATGAATAAAAGATGATGAATAATGCTGGGAAAAATTAATAAAAGTTGAAAAAAAATAAAAAAAAAAATATAGAGTTGTTGCAACACACACACACAGTATACTACGGTTTCATTATAATATCATCTCGTCGAGTATTTTAAATCCACGTGCAATTAGATAAGATAGATGATCCGAGACTTAAAACACTGTTACTTCCCATCAAAAAGTGTACTAAAAATAGGATATACGAGTCCTCACAAGACGGAACTGGATAAGATTAACGCATTCATATCCTTCTAATTTTGATCATCAGTCAATTCAGCACATGACGTGTATCTGTTACTTATTCTCATTAATCTGATCCACTTGTATATGTTATTTTAAATTTTATTTACTTTTTTTATTATATGTTTTAGAATGACGTTTGTTATTCGTGCGACTTACATATGTCATATTATAGTAATTTTATAACTTATAACATATAACTAATTGAAATTTAAGTATATTAATTGATAAATAATATTATTTTTCTAATTACTATTAAAAATATAATTTTAATTATTGTTATAAAAATAAATATAATTTATTTAATATACATACAATATGGAAAATCTTATATATAAAAAAAGTTGTAATCATATGTCACAATAATAAGATTAGGGAGATGCTACGGTCCGTTATGGGACCAGTCTGTCAGAATTTGTAACTATTAAATTAACTATTTTTAATAATTAAAGAATAATCTAACGGTTATAAACTCGACAAAATAATTTCGTAACGGAACCATGATTTTGACGAGAAGGAGGCCGATTTTGATATTTATTATTGCTAATAAGACGTTTCGGATATGAATACAGCAAATGGGCCGATGTACGCCGTATTTGACCACTCTCTTCCTTTGGACTGTTTTTTATATAAACAATAATATAATAT